TTGGTTGCGGTTGCGGTTGCGGTTGCGCGGGCGAGTTGAAATGTGTCCCTTGGTTGCGGTTGCGCGGGCGTGTTGAAATGTGTCGCCTGGTTTCGGTTGCGGTTGCGGTTGCGCGCGCGGAGTGAAGTGTGTCGCCTGGTTGCGGTTGCGGTTGCGGTTGCGGTTGCGCGGTTGGGTCGAAAAGTGTCGCCTGTTTGCGGTTGCGATTGCGGTTGCGCGCGCGGGTTGAAACGTGTCGCCTGGTTGCGGTTGCGGTTGTGATTTCGCGGCCTGTTTGAAGTGTGTCGTTTGGTTGCGGTTGCGGTTGCGGTTGCGCGGTCGGGTTGAAATTGCGCGGCTGGGTTGAAATGTGTCGCCTGGTTGCGGTTGCGGTTGCGATTGCGCGGCCCGGTTGAAATATGTCGCCTGGTTGCGGTTGCGGTTGCGGTTGCGGTTGCGCGGTCGGGTTGAAATGTTTTGCCCGGTTGCGGGTGCGGTTGCTCGCGCGGCCGGGTTGGAATGCGTCGCCTGGTTGCTGTTGCGGTTGCGGTTGCGTGGGCGGGTTGAAATGTGTCGCCACGTTGCGGTTGCGCTTGCGCGCGCGGGCGGATTGGAGGTACAGTTGCGGTTGCGGTTGCGCGGCCGGGTCGGGTTGACATTGCGCGGTTGGGTTGAAATGTGTGGCCTGGTTGCGGTTGCGGTTGTGCGCGCGGGCGGGCTTGCAATGCGCCGCTTGGTTGCTGTTGCGGTTGCGGTTGCGCGGTTGGGTTGAAATGTGTCGCCTGCTTGCGCTTGCGCGCGCGGGCGGTTGTAAATGCGTTGTCAGAATAGCTCTCCTGACGTTCAGTCAGTCATTCAGTCAGTCAGTGAGTCAGTCACCAGCGGGCACGGAATTTCACCCGGCTCCGCCGGGAAAAACTTTAGGAAAATCAGTAGTTTTCGCTTCCTGGGTTCATCTTGGCACTGCTCTTGTCGGCATCTTGGGGCTTCTTGGAGGCCTCTTGGGATGTCTTGGGGCCATCTTGGGCGGTATGGAGAGCGTCTTGGCTCATCTTGGGCCGCTTTGGGCCGCCTCAGGATTTGGAAAGGCCGCCTGGACGCCGGGGTGGCGCCTCGCTGGCCGAAGAGTAGGTCTGAACCCCTTTAGGGGGGGACGCCCCCTGAGGCCCTGCTCGCCCACATCATATGCTATGATATGATATGATATACTATGGTTTGATATGTTATGCTATGTTGCGATATGGCATGATATGATACGATATGGTATGTTGTGGTATGCTGTGGCCTATATTTATGTGCATACATAAATATACACATATACATACAAAAACACATATATATATGTATATATATATATATATATATGTGCAGGTTCGTATGCACATGTGTGCGAGTATTCATATGTACCTCTCATTTACATGTGTACAAATGTTTTTTAAATTGACATGCGTTTATATGTATATTTTCACATATATATATGTATGAATATACATCTGTATTTGCATACTCACATAACTATATACATACATCGGGATCCTGGCAGGAACCCCTATAGGTAGGAGTCCTGAGAGGAGTCCGCAGGCTTAGCTCCAGAATGGCTAGGCTTCCCTGCGGAATCCTTGTAGGAATCCTACAGGAACCTTTCGCGTTCCCATCAGCCTGCGTGGGGTTCTGTGGGGGATCTTAGGGTGCCGACCCAGCGAATGGCAAGATGAGTGAGTGCTTTCTCCTATAAAGAACATCTCCCGCTTGTGTAGGAAAGCGAGAAGCCAGGGGATTATCTATCCCGACGTGGGAGAACGCGCTCCACGGGGTAACAGCTTCCCCCTCCCTCGCTTTAGGATCGCCGCGTTGCTCTCGTCGTTCAGATGTACGCTTTCGCCCCAGCGCGGACCACATTTCTGTATGTGATTCGTTCGTCGTTTTTTCCGTACCCCCCATTTTCCCTCCTCCGACTTCCCTTTGCCCTCCTGCTCCTTCTCCTGCTCCTCCTGCTCCTGCTGCTGCTCCTCCCCCTTTCTCATCGTCCTGCCTATCCTCCTGCTCATCTTTCTGCTAATCCGCCGCCTCCTCTTCTGTGTCCACTGTTGAAAGGCCCCCCCTGTGATTGCTTGCCACACGACGGGGCCCTTTTGAGGGTCACGGTCTTCCAGGACACCTCAGCCAGCGGATGGGGAAGATTTCAGCGCGGTGTGAAGGAATGGGAGGGAGGGGTCGGATGTCCGATATGACGCGAGCGCGCCTACCGTGCATGCAACAGCCTAACGCGAAATCAGTCCGTAACGTTGGAATCCTGCCGCTGGAAGAAACGCAGCGAGGCCCAGGCAGCAGCGACCGCCGGACGAACAAAGTGGACTGGAGGTTCGCGTTTCTTATCAAACCCCTCAGCGGCGGCCACCGACCGTGCCCAGCTGGGAACTCGCGGCCTTTGAACGGTGGAATCCCCGCGCCATCGATGGTTTTCGCGCTCATTATTTGTTCCATTCACGGCAGCTTGCCCCCCGCCCCTCTCCCTCTTCATTCTTTCCCCTGCCCCAGCTTTGGTTTCGGTCGGGCACGCGCCTGCGGAGCCAGAGTCGAACGCGGGGGGACGGGGGGGCACCTGAACCCTGGCGTAGCCATGTTGGGCCAAGCGCGCTCGCGGAGCTGGCTCAGAGGTCGCGCCTCGAGGCGGTGCCAATTTGAAATTGGAACCGCCTCGAGGCGCGACCTCTGAATCGGCGTTGGCATTTCTTTGTTCGAGAACTTGCCAGATCCAGCTCGGTCCCTTTTAATCCGGCTTCATCCAGCTGGATCCCGCTTAATCCTGGGCTGAATCTGGCCTGACTTGGATGAGTGGCCGCTTTAGTCAGGCTTGATCACCTTCCATCGTTCAGGCGAAAGCCTGCCAGGAGTTGCCGTTGCCTTCGAACCTCCTCCCCCCTTCGCGATCGTGCTCTGTCCGTCTACCCCTCTTCCCGTCGCCGCTCTGGCCCGAGCTGGCCCCGGGCACGGGCTTGCGGCGGGCCGCCTCGGAACACCCCGCGCCCGAAGGCCGCCGAGACATGGCGCCCTCGCCCGCTCGTGCCCGCGGCCTTCCGGCGCGGCGGGCCGTGGCGAGGCGGCGATGCGGGGTCCCCCAAGCGGTGCGGTGACCACACCGTGTGGTGAGTCAGCGGGGGTTTCGGAAGGTGCCCGGGGTTTTCGGCAGTTTTCGGAGGTTTCCGGGCCCGGGGTGGTCTCCATCAGTTGCGCCTCGCCGAGGGCGTTCCAGGGGTGCCAGATTCGTCCCGAAATGCCGCTGGAGAGCGGAGTCAAGGCCCGAAGACAAGTGCGGTGGCCACACCGTGAGGTGAGCCAGTTGGAATTCAGGTGACCGGCCTTGCGGTGAGGCCTTTCGGTCAGGGTCGCGCAACGGTTTGGCACCGCACGGTGGTGGGACACCCAAGGCGGTGGTCCAGGGCGTCCGCCGTCGCTGCCGCGGCCGCCGCGGCTGCCGCGGCCATGGGCACCTTCGGGTTCTCCGGCCTCGCGATGGCAGTTTTTACTAAGACCTGCGGCGGCAACTTTACGCCGACACCGATCCTGGCCAGGCCCATCTTGGGCCCAGGGTCGGTATGTACGCCGTCCTGGCCAGGCCAGGACGGGTTAGACACCGATCCTGGACCTAGGATCGGGCAGACCTGGTGTCCGCGTACACTTGTCGTCCTCCTGCCAGGAGAGCGAAGCCCGCCAGGTGTCCCAAGCCGACCTTCGGGAGGCCGATCCCGCAGCTCCCGAAGGAGGGCGACGCCCCCCTGGACGGGTCGGAGGGCCCCGTTTCGGTGACAATGCCATCCGAGGCGCCGTTGTTTCCAGCTGCCTGCGGCAAGCCCCGCCGTCGTGCCAGCGCAGCTGTCTACGCGGGGACCTCGGACGAGCGCCCACGAGCCGCAGCACGTGGCAGCTCTCGTCGCGAGGCTCCGCGGGGCCGCAGCATGCGGCGCGCTCGCTCTCCAGCAGGCTCGATGCGGCCGTGACGTGTTGCAGTTCGTGTTCTGCGTGCAGCAACAAACGTGGGGGTGGTGCCACCCCCGCCGACCGCGACCTCCATCGCGGGCAAGCGTTGTCGCGCCAAAAATAGTCTCCCCCCGCGGTGCGCCGACCGGGCGAATCTGACCCCTGGCGCGCCGCATGGACAGGCTGTCGTTGACCCTCGTGTGGACCCTCCCCCCGCTTACCACCAAACGCAGATCATGTCTCAGGGCCCACGGGGCCGCGGCATGTGACACTTCTCTTCCCGAGAACCCAGGAGGACCTTCGCACTCAGCACTCGTCCCCTGGGGTGGAGGGAAGGCCGCAACATCTGGCGACCTCTTTTTTCCCCAGGTCCACTGAGCCGTAATGTGTGGCGCCGCTTTTCTCGAGGTCGCTGGGGGCCGTCACATTTAGTGCTCTTTCCCCTGTGGAGAAGGCCGCATCGTGTAAAAGGTCATTCCCCGATGGCCCATGGGGGTCGTAACATGTGGCGTTGACAGTTTTCGGCCGCACAACTGCTTGTCGCAAGGACTCCCTGGGAGCATCTGCGGGTCTCCAGGCTGTTTGTTGGATCTTGCTGTTGCCTGTGAGTGTCTGGGGCAGTTCGGGAGCGTCCTGGGGTCGTCTTGCGGGGCGTTGGAGACCTCCTGGGATTGTTGTGGAGGGTGCCTGCGCCGCTTTATGACCATATTGTGGCCGCTTCGGGTTTCTGGGGGCGACAAATGGCGGCAGTCCATGTTTCCAGTGTGTGTTGTCGTCTTGAGGGTTGTTGGGCCCATCTTTAAATATCTTTGCGGCCATGGTGGCCTTCTTGAGCCGTCTTGGAAGCCATCTTGTACATCTCTGAGGCTTTCGAGGCAGCCTCATCTTGTGCCTGAGGAGCCCTGGGAGGGGGTGGTGTTTCACCCCAGCAGAAGGGGTGCCTGGAGAAAACTACATTGTACACTGTACCGCTCCACTACGGAACGGTGGCGGACTTCTCGGTTGAGCAGCCCATCCGCTTGCAGGATAGGCCCACCGGCAGCATGAAGTGGTTCCAAGCGCACCCGATGCCTCAGGAGATTCCTGAAATGCCAGAGCACCTTCCCGGTGAAGTAGACAAGCCCACGAGGAGAGAGAACTTGATCCGCGCGAAGCTAAACGGAGGCATGAAGCCATCGCCCTTAGAGTTCGACAAGATCATCCAGGTCTTTGCGCAGAGGGCTCGCCTGAGCGCACAGTGGGCGCCCGTCCAGCGCAGGGAGTTTATTCGGAGGGCCAAGCGATGGGCGAGCGAGATGGTGCTGCAGGACATGAGCCCCAGCGACAAGTCCGTCAAACTTATCCTGCTCGGCTGCGAGGCCACTGGCGACACCTCCGGGGCGCAGTGGTGGTTCGGGTGGATGGAGCGGTACGGGCGCAAGCTAGGCCGCCTACACTACAACGCGGTCCTTGGCACCTTTGGTGTCCAGGGCCAGCCGTACGAGGCGCGCCAGTTTATGGGGCGCATGCGGGAAGCGGGCTTCAAGCCAGACTATCGGGGCTACGCCGCCGTCATAGATGCGTGGGAGAAGGCTGGTAACCGCCGCGCGATGCTCCAGACCATCCTCGAGATGCAGGAGGCGGAGAAGGCGGGCGAGCTCGGCGAGCCCCTGAAGGCCACCGACCAGCAGCGCCCCTACCTGGCGCTGGCGAGCTCCTACGCGAAGGTGGGCGACGCGAGCAGGGCCATATCCGTCCTGAAGGTCCTCCAGGAGAAGCAGGTACTTCGGTAGCAAACCGTGGGAGCCTTGTATACCATCGTAATCTCGTCCCTAGATTGTATTCGCGTCGATCAGCGTCTGGTAGTCGATGAGATAGCGCCGATGTAGCGTCGATTTGGCGTCGACCAGCGCCGATGAGCGTCGATGAGCGTTGACTCGAAACGCCTGCAAGATGGTATGGGATGCTGTTGTGAGCTGCCACCGGAGCAGGTGCCCATGGACCACGAGGTCCACCGCGTGCGCATCGAGGCGCACCTCAGGACGCCCGAGGCCCGCCGCTCCGCCGAGGACATCAGGGAAGCCCTGCGGAGCTTCCTCGACTCGCAGCGGGGCAGCAGCAGGAAGCCCGAGATCTCGAAGACCATGAGCGATGAGCTGAGCACGGCCCTGGGGCAAGCGTACGGCGACGTGCTTCGGGAGTTCGGCCTGGAGGAGGGGGACGTCGTGCCGGAGCTGCCAAGCTCTCAGACCATCATGCTGTGGCGCCGGAAGACCCTCATCAATGCGATGGAGCAGCACCGGGGAGGCGCAGGCGCAATGCGGCCCAGGAGCGGCGAAGAGAGGTTCTTCCGCGACAGGATCAACGCGCGCAAGGGGCCCAAGTTCGGAGAGCATGCTGGTGGCTACCGAATCCCAGATACAAGGGGCGCAGCATTCCAGGGGATCAAGGAGTGGATGACGATTCCAAAGCCGGTGAAATATGGTTGATAGTTGTTTTCTCCCGTTCCTCCGTCTACCCCCTTCACCTGTTCCTTCTGTGCATCCCTTAGCGTAGGTGCGCATTGTGAGGCATTCCTCGTTTGCACTTGGAGCCATCACGCGTGGACGCGAAAGCACTCATACTCCCCCCATATCTCCTCCGCCCTCCCTCGAGAACAGGGAGCCCCAACCAGGCCAAGAAGGAGGGAGCTGCCCAGGGTCGGCCAGGCGTCCTCGCTCGAGGAAGACCCCGACCGAGCCCAGATCGCCCCGTCCCTCCCTCCAGGAGATCTGGTGTGTTGATTCTTGTTCGCTCTTGCCGCCGCTCGCTCCATGCCGCCGCCAGCCGCCCTGCACCCGCCTGCCGCAGCTGTATCGTGCTTACATGACAAGACGTACTTCGTGCTGGCACCGCGGGCCCGCTTCCGCTCCCTCCTCCTCCCTATCTTGTTTTATTGACCCATTGATCCACCGCTTAACGGGTTGTTGAATCAGAGTAAGCATGTCTAATACCCATCATGGGCGATGGGGCCGGTGCGTTAACATCACCATCATATCTCACTTCTGCCGGAAACCGTCTTCTTCTGGCGAGCGACTGGTTTTCAGCCGAAAGCTTTAATGTTGTATACGACGTGCAGATAACAGTAGCGAATGATCTCCACACGCTTGTTCCATTGGAAGCCGCGCAAGATCAGCCGAGCATTCCGCTATTTCATGTTTCAGGTCATGCCCTTCCAGGAGGTCCCGCCATTTCGTTAATAGATAACCCTTTTGTGCCAATGGAAGACAGCGATTCGGCGCTGGTTCAATTAATGGAATTGGAAGATACTCTGGACCTTAAATTCGCAGTTATCATTGGAGATGATGACGCGGATTCAGAGACTTCGCCGTTCAGAGATAAGAGCACTTTGATTGTCCTTCAAGCGGATTGCACAAGAGACATCGCAGGGAAAACGCCAGGGGTAAAGCGTCCAAAAATATATGATGATGTGAGCATGGGACATGACTCTTCAATGCGTGGTTCCAGCCTGGCAGAAGGTTCGCGCGATGAGCAGCGTTGCCCAGCCACACAAGAAATTCCTGGGTCGATCCCGATTCCAATAATGTCTCCACATAGCGCCATCAAAAGATTGGTATGTCGATCGGCATTAGCAGCGACTGTGCGTGCAAGGTCAAGGAGCAGTCAAGGATCCAATGGATTATCTTCCAGGGTCTTCTCGCTGAAAGATAGTTAGTTGTTGGGCCCGAGGACCGTGGTGCTACCCAATGTCCCGGGAAAGCGAACAACACCCAGGGTCCGTGTTTTCGACCTGTGTGTGGTGGTTGTTCACTCGTATGCCAGCACTGCAATTTCAATTGGCTTTGCTCAGGATGCGTCGACGTTAAACAGCACGATTTTGAACACCTTGCTTTTCTTGAATGGCAGCATAAAGAAGCAGAGAAACGGATAGCCAATGAAACAAGATTTCGCGAAGAACTGGCTGCGCAGGTTCGCCCGATCCGAACGCGCAGGGATGAACAACTCTGGAAGGCGAGTAATGAGAAAAGGAGTCTACTACAGGCCGCGCAGCAATCCCATCTAGGCCGGCAGGCTGCATCGGAAACAGCTCAGTTGTCTCTGATTGTGGCCGACCCGCACAAAAAAGATTGAGAAGAGTCCGCGGGACAAAAGATGATAGAAACGGGTGTCGTAATAGCGGGGGAAAGGACCGTACAAGGAGTCACATAAACAACCAGTTTCGCAAACGGCAGAGATAGGGGCAAGGTTTTTTTGTTATCGATTGGCGTAAGATGCAACGCAAGAGAAGGTGGTCCAAGCAGCTACTCTGATTCACCATACGAGTGAAGAGGCGGTTGCAGTTGTACAACAAGCGAACCGTCGAGAGCGTACCGCCACTGATCAAGCAATGAACATGAAAGCATACATGAATGTGCTTTCCGAGGACCTTGCCAAGCATAAACATAATAATCTGGTTCTCTTCCGGAAAGCTCAACATGTATCAATGCAAAGCGGTGAGCCGGTGCCACCCGTGTTACGGATTCAATCCGCTGCGTAGGGTGACGTTGTTGTGATCCAGTCTGCCATGAAGCTTCGGACCAGAATTCATCTTCTCGGGGATGGTAGGTCGAGTGGATAGGCATTCGAAGCTGAGCTTTTGATGACGGGAAGCTCAACATATCAGACGTCGAGGAGGGAGCCGCGGCTGCGTATCGCTACAGCTTCGGAGGATGTGCAAATGCGCCATCTTTGCCAAAACTGTAGAAAAGGCTCAGGTAAGAGGCCCGATGCACTTTATGTATCTCCGTCTGCCCAGATCGTCCTTTCCGTTTGCCGCCGCGGCCACCAGATGATCTTAGGTTTTCGGCTCCCTAGTTTTGTGTTTGCGCACTTGTATGACGCAAGTTGATAAGGCAAAGTTGTCATGGTTTCCGGAGCGCCGCGCCCTGGGGCATGGCCAGTGCCGCCGCAGCGTGTCTCTTTGCGCGCGGGGGCCTGGGGGGCAAGTGCAGCTGTGCACCAGATTCGTTGAAAGAGGGTCTTGGGAACTTACTCCCGCGTTCCTTCCTCCTTCCTCCTTCCTCCTTCCTTCCTCCTTCCTCCTTCCCCTCCCTCCTTCCTCCTTCCCCTTTCCCCTCCCTCCCTCCTCCTTCCTCCTTCCCCTTCCTCCTTCCCCTCCTGTCTCCTCCTTCCTCCTTCCCCTCCCTCCCTCACCCTCCTCCTCCCCTGCCTGTCTCCTTCTCTCCTTGCGTTTCCCGCCGCCGGCCTGCCGCCGGGGCCGCGCTGGTCCGTCTCGTGCTTTGCGCGCTGCCGCCGCGAACGTCTGTGGCATTCCCCCCACTTTTTCTGCGTGGGGCAGGGCCCCCCCGCTTTCCCACGAGGGAGAGAGAAGCTCATGATACTGATGGAGGAAAGGGGAGGAGGAGGGAGGGGCGGAGGCAGGGGGGGGAGGAAGTGGAGTGTAAACCTTGGGTGCAGCTATCCGTTTCGCATTGCCCGTGCCAGTTGCGTGTCCTTGAAACGCGGCTTGGATTAGCATTGCGCCGTGGGGGACTGGTAGGACGTCACATCTGGGTGGCTTCATCGCGCCGAACTTGGTTTTTTCGAACTAACTTTTTGCCCACTTTCAGCCCACTTGTAGCCCGTGCTGAGCCCACATTTAGCTTGTTTTCAGCCTACAGTTTGCCCCTTTTAGCCCGATTTTAGCACAGATTTTAGCCCAGATTTTAGCCCGCGCGCGCCCGGTCTTCCAGTTGCGCGCCCCGGAGGCACGACGGAATAGGAAAACGACGAAGGGGAATACAGCCGCGGTGGCGACATCACACAATCAAAACAAAACCATGAGAACCTTCGACCGACCGGACATAGGAAGGCACCGACCAGGTTCATGAATTCGCAGGACGAGGATGCGTCGGAGATTCGCCGGAGCAGTTTAGCTCAGATTTAGCCCACTTTTAGCCAACTTTTAGATCACAGTTGGCCCATTTTTAGCCATTTAGTCCACTTTCAGCCCACTTTTGCCGTGCTTTAGTTCAGATTTACCCCTGTCGTTGGCCGTCTGGTCGGAGACGTCGCGAGGCGAGTGCGAGGCACGAGGACGAGGAAGAGAAACACTAGGAGCAGAAGGGAAAAGGGGGGAGGTGGAGGAGGAGGAGGAGGAGGAGGAGGAGGAGGAGGAGGAGGAGGAGGAGGAGGAGGAGGAGGAGGAGGAGGAGGAGGAGGAGGAGGATAATTCTCCATCGGTAACCGTTCGAAACCTTCTTTGGTCCGCACGTGGTCGCATCGAGATGCTGGGGAAAGAGGTGCCCTGCGAACGTTGCCGAAACTCGAGCCTTGCAGTCGCGCTGAGGGGGATCGGAGGCTAGAGAAGAGGGAAGGGAGGGGAGGATAGAGGAAGGATAATATAGCCATCGCGGACGGTAAATCGAAACTCAAATGTTGCCCGCAGAGGGCGCAGTACTCGTGGATGTGGGGCGGGGTCACGGGACAGGGGGGATGGGGATGACGCGCGTAGAGGAATGGATACGAAGGGGAGGCGGGACAACTGCGTGCGACAAGTCGTGGCAATCTAGACGGTCGCAGCCGGTGGCGTGCATTGCCTGCAAAAGACGCCAATACTCCGGGACTCAGGCGGGGGAGCGCGGCGCACTCACAGGGGTGAGCGCGGCAGTGCGACGAAGATGCGGCCACTTAGAGGTCCCTCCTCGGATGGTTGGTGACACTCTTCTTCGCCTGAGGGGGCGACGGGTCCGGGCCAGGCGCAGCAGCACCTCCGGCGGGAATGCCAAATCATCGTCTAGCGCTTTCTGGCCTCTCGCCTGAACCTGTAGAGCCAGAACGTGAAGAAGATCAATGGCGTTGAATGTTCCAAACCATGTTGTGACAATCGCATTGGTTCCATGACCAAGCGATGTAGGCCATGCGTCCGTGACAAGGCGGAAGCCGAGGTGGAAGCTGCCTGGAAACGTTAGGAGGAGGAACGTTGGCGCTCCCAACAGCGGGAAGAACAGGCACGCATGGGTAGTCCCAGTCAACGGCAGAAGGATCTCCTTGGGAATATTCGACAAGAGCGCGGTGAATTTGAGAAAGCGAAACAAGTCGAAAAGAGAGCTGAGTCGGAGAAAACTTCATAATTGCATGACAGTCATCGTTGGAGCAACGCTTTCTTGGCGTGCCTTCGTTCCTTCAGTTTCTCGAACCATCTGGAGATCCGCCATCTAAGATACTAGACGCACCAGATGAGCCACCTGATTCGCGGCCGATCGCTCACGACTCAGCTGGGGGTGGAGATGGCGAAGGAGGTGGACCACCTGGTGGCGGTAGAAATTGAGGCGATGATTGGAAATATGATAAGGGACCCATCACATATCCTTTCGAATTTTGGCAGCAGATGGGAAAGACAACGGAAAGCAAACTGATGCCGATCCCTAATGCTTTGGGGTTTCGGGAGCGGAAACTCCATGCAACGCGGGTGATATCATCGGCATCCCCCGATGCAAGAGAGACATTA